CACTCCAAAGTGGGTCTAGTGCAGACATGCAAATTTTTTATGTGACCTGGTTCTCCTTAATTTGCTTTCAGCGTTTCACATGTGAATGGTGTAGAAATATGTTGGTTGTCTGTGACCTCGTCTTTTTCTTTCTTGTCACTCTTGAGTGGTATAGAGATATGTTGGTTGTCTGTGAAGTGCAACCTGGTCTTTCTGTGACTGCTGGTCTTTATTGTCACCTGAGTGTGTCTGGTGTTGACATGGATATTTTTTGTACTATCTTGAATTAATTGTCACACTAAAGTGTCTTGTGTAGTTGAAGCTGGGATATTTACTTAGGAGGAAAGCGATCTTTTCTCAAGATCCATCACCACTAAACACTTTGCACATCATAACTTTGTCTGCAGCGTCATTAAGTTGAGCCTATCTTCCTCAAAAGCTACATGCGTCTCTGTCATTCCAGAAAAATACATATTCATGTCAAGAAGAGTCTCTGAAACTTTTCTTGAACATTGAAACATGTTCTGATAGAAAACAATACAATTGCGTATATCATTTGTCGCTTGTTTACTTTGGTGCCAGAATCTGGTGACTGTAAAATTGGACAGTTTTAGAAATCCTATTTGCAGACATTCTCAGTTTGAATATATGTTCATTGTTGTTACATATTATGAAAATATATACAAAACACAAAATATTAGAGGTGTGTATCGCAAGGGTTGTAACAATTTGATACATAATATTACGATACAATTGGTCACAATATGATACATATTGTTAATTTATAACCATGGAGAGCAAGAAATTTGGCATGAACATGGTTTCATGAATACGGGCCCTGTTCCTATTCTCCTTGTCCTTGTCCATGGGGCTCCTTTGTCTACCTTTCTTTGTCCATATATTGTCTTATATGTTTTATCAGTCTTAAGTTCAAATTACAGTTCTGTTTCTACTCTGTTGTTCTCTTGCTTTTTAATGGACATTTATTTTTTCCCCCCAGGGTTTCACAGTTGTTGCAAGGTATCGTCTTTTCTTATTTTGTATATAAATAGGAGTAGTAACGTCAGCTAAAGTCAGATTTCCCTTACTGGGAAAAGTGACAATTTCAAATTCTTCAGATTTGATCTCACTTCAGTTGTTTATGCTGCAAATTCTAACTAAATATTAGTTTATCACAATATTTAAGTATTTAAGGTAAATTGAACTGTCCACTTAATCTTGAACTTTACTTCAGACATTATTTTGGGGAATTTTTATTCTTTTACTTATTTTTTCTGAAACTTTTGATTTTAATGAAAAAAATAACTGAGCTCTTTAACTGCATCTAAAAACCAGACAAATTCAAATTTAGGCTCCGCCTCTTTCCTTTTGTAGTCTGGGCCCTGGTTTAAGGTCCAGAGATACGCATGACCTATATGTCGCAATGAACCTGTTACACAAGCTTAAACTGTATATAAAGTGAGCACCAATTACCTTAAGTGTTTATCGTAATACATGTACATTGATTAATTAACGTCTAGCCAGTCATGATCACCAGTGAAATTGATTTATCCTGATAATTGACAATCGGTATAGTAAATTGTATGATCCGTATTTTGATCTAGATATTGAATACAATTAACTAGTTTAATTTGGCCGAGGTCAGAGAATGAATCATGTAATAAGCATTTTTACCTATAAGGACATGACACACCTAATAATTAAACATGATCTCTAAACAAATCAGTTGACTGATCTGTAATATGAAGGTTTTTACATTGATAACTGAAAGTAATTGACTATAGAAATTGATATTGGTGATATGATACAATGTTATTTCCATTATAACCATAAAAAATATGACATGGATTGATACAAGGAATGATAAACGACATGTTCTGTATATGAGTGAATTCTTAATAGAAGTATTATTCAACTCAACTGGCTCAAAGGACCAAGGTAAATGATGCTGTGGTGAAACATTTGTCATCAGTCCTTTATTGTCAGCTTTCCCTCTAAAACTACCAGTCAAGAACAGCTGAAGAAGTCTTACAGTATTATAAAAATGTAAAAGGGGGATGCCAAAAACAATGACTAAAACAGACGAGCGATACAGGCTTTTATGTTTATACAACATTTTTGGTATATTGAATTCATACTCTTTTTGCTGATATATATGGACACATAGATGAAGGTGTGCATGTACACATATATAAAGTAGCTTTTCATGATCAATGAAAGGAAAAATTGAGAGGAATTCATTGGTGAAATTTAAGAGATTTGCTCCTTTTTTAAAACCAGACAAATACCCTATCCAGACACTCCGCAGTCGTGACATCAACACAATGCATGAAAACACAGACGTTAATTTTACGTATATGTTTATATTTTAAGAACGAGTTTGCCTTTTTGTAGACCACTGCTGTTTTCCAGTGAGAAGGATCTATATATACATGTATTTAGACTTTGGTGTTATTTTGAAACTGAATCTATGACTTTAGGTGTGCCCTTAGGAAGCGTTTTCAGTGACAGGACATAGTAAATTGTGTAAACTGATGAGGCTTTAATGAAATAGCTGTTGTTTAGAGGATAAGATATTGACCAGACTAGACTTGACCTTTGCAGGTTGATAGATCAATATTTCATTACTTGTGAGATTCGTGTACACTGTGGTGTAAAACATTGCTGCACAGTAAGGGTCACCCTGCTGTCTAAATAAAAAACACTAACCCATCGTCTTAATGGAGGTCCTCATATAATCCCACATCCTTGCTGGAACACGTGATAATGGCCAACCAGACTTGCTGGAATACCTGTGTATTATCAGGCAGTCTCTTTGGACTGCTTAGGTATGGCCTGTCAGTCTTTCTGGAATACTTGGGTTTGGACAGTCAGAATGTCAGGTCTGCATGCTTGTATGTGTGACACAAAAGTCTTGCTGCAATACTTCGGTGTGTCTAGCCAGCCTATGTAGAATGCTTAAATGTGACTCTAACCTGCAGTCTTGCTGATACATTAAGGTTTGGACTGCAGTACATCACCTGTCAAAAATTGAACATTGTAGTTGGAACCAAGTTGATTTTAAAATGATAATGCTGTACTACTCTTGTTTTATACACATAGGGTACCCTGAACTTTTTTAGATATCATTCAAAATTTTGGAAAGGGATTAAGTATATACTTCCAGGCCTAGTTTAAACTCGGGGAAATTATGCAGCTCAGCCTTTTAAGCTGAAGTTGAACAGTATATTACAATTATGGCCTTTAAATGCTAAGGCATTTATCAGCTAGGTAATTTTTAAATGATATGAATGATCAATTACTAGGCAAGTCCAGCAAGTGAGTGTTGCCTGGCAGTCTGAAGCAAGTCACTTGAAAGTATGATCATATGATGTAAGAAAACTCATGAGTATGGACAACTAATCAAAGGGAACACTTGAATACGCACACCTAGCATAAGGGAACATTAAGTATGGGTTGTAAGTATGAGGATACCCTAGAGTATGGTCCATTAGTCATGGATCTTAGCATATTGTCAATACACTGTAATGATGTTCATTTCTGAACCACATCATACCCCCTCACCACTTAGGTAAAGAGGAGATACATACATGTATACTGGTATATTGAAATAGCTTTATGTTCCTGCATACATGCCTGCATCAGATACATGTACCTCATGAATTTCTAAACAGATTAAACTTTTTTGTTTACCAAAGTGTGCATGGTTACAACCTATTTCAGACCTAGTTAGATTTTGGAGGTCATCGCGGTCAATGATCAAATGTTACCAATGGCCATGCACTTTGAGTGAACAGCTTGTGTGCAAGATTTCTTACAAACCCTTGAACGGATTTAGTTATTTATACAAATGTACCATTGTATAGATTAGTATATTAAGTTCTGTACCTGTTTAGTTTTGGTGGTCATCAGTGGAAGGGTCAAAGGTCAAATTTGACCCCCATTTGGGGTTTTGGGTTGCTAAATATCTTTCAACCCCCTGGCCTGTTTGCTTTGTATTTATTAGCTCACCTGGCCCAAAGGGCCATGTGAGCTTATCCCATGGTGCAGCGTCCGTCGTCCGTCAACTTTTTCCTTTAAAATGCTACTTGTCCCGAATGGCTCAGAGGATTTTGACCAAATTTGGTCAGGAGCATCATTGGCCAAAGGGTTCTCAGTTTTGTATAAACGGAGGGTATAACCCCCCCTGGGGGCAGAGGGGCGGGGCCAAATAGGGGGAAAATAGGTAAATCTTTAAAAATCTTCTTCTTCTCAACCAATAGAAGGATTTTGACCAAATTTGTCCTAGAGCATCTTTGGACAAAGGAGACTCAAGTTTGTATAAACGGAGGGTGTGGGCCTTCTGGCGGCATAGGAGCGGGGCCCAATAGGGGAAATAGAGGATTTTTTTTCTCCTACTATACAAGTGAAGGGATTTAAACCAAATGCAGTCTGAAGCATGCTTAGGGAGAAAAGAATCAATTTTGTTTAAACTGAGGTGTGTGGATTCCCCTTCTTTGGGGCAGATTAGTGGGGCCCATTAGGGGAAATAGAGGAAAACATTAAAGATCCTTCTCCTTCTGTACCGTTGAAGGGATTTTAACCTAACCAAACTTGTTTTAGAGAATCTTTGGGCAAAGGGAATTGAATATTTATAAATGGAAGATGCAACTTTGTTACTTGTACTCCTTTGATAAACCTGAATGGTACTCAGCAGGTTTTAAATTGAAAAATAAAATACCAGGTGAGCTATTAAGGCCCCTGGGCCTCTTGTTTCATGAAAAACATCTTAATTTCAGAAAAACTATATTTTCGAATGAAATTACATTTGGACGTATTTACCAAACATGTTTTTGAAAGTCAATGTAATGGTCAACTACAAATGTATGGACAATGATTTCTGAAAGGCTGAAAATATTTTTATGAATCTTCCTAAATGGATGTACTGTACAATGTATTTTGACTAGATTTATAATACGTTAATATGCTTTTTAGTTGTCGACCGCATTTGATTTTACATGCTTATTTTACTATATTTGCAGGGGTGCTTTTTCCATTGTGCGAAGATGTGTACAGAAATCCACAAATTTAGAGTTTGCTGCAAAAATCATTAACACAAAGAAATTATCGGCCAGAGGTAAGAAGACAGATTACTGTATATTATTGCAGGTTTTGAGAGCCTGTCAAGTCACAGGAGAATGTGCTTTCCTCGTTAGCAAAGAAAAGAAATGTCAGTTTCTTATTGCACAATATATCCTTGAGCGATTTTACATGTAATTAGCCACTGTTCCTCGATCTGTGTTAGAACTTACAGACAACCGCTATTCCTGTCTGGGATAGTGGTTGGCTCAACACCAACCATCACATCATCTAAAGCATTCATTTCAATAATCTTGTCTCTCTGACAGCAAGAGATTTAAGAATTGCAATATAATTTGCTATGGCAAGAATTGAACTATCATTCAGAGATAACACAAATCCTTGATTGCTATTAGGGTATAGACATTTTTAGCCCAGCATCATCTGATGGTGGGCTATTCAAATCACCCTGAATCCGTGGTCCGTCCGTTGTCCGTCGTCCGTTGTCCGTCGTCGTCCGTCGTCCGTCCGTAAACAATTCTTGTTATCGCTATTTCTCAAGAAGAGACTGATCGGATAAACAACATGGCCGACAGGCAGCCATCTTGGATTTTGATATTGAAAGTTTGTTATCGCTATTTCTCAAGAAGTACCAGAGGGATCTTTCTCCAATTTTATATGTAGGTTCCCCTTGGTCCTAAGCT